CACGTGACAATAAGACCTAATTCAAATTTGAATTCACATGCAATTCTAGCAGCAGGAAGAGAACCCCAGCTTTTAGCTGTAACAGAGACAGGAAAAAATACTTCCACATCCAGCTTCAAGATCCCAGCAACTGCTGAAAGTTAAAACTAAAAACCCTGGCTCTGTGGGAGCTTGACCCCACCCAATCAGGCTGCTTCTATTGTTCCAACTTTAAAAAAAACCAAGGCCTCACAAGCTGTATTCTATTCTGTACTCTATTGGTTTTGAGCAGACCACTCGGCGGCTCTATCTCAACTTTTCTTCATTAAAAAAACCTGGACAGAATAGACCTCTTAAAGCCATAGTATTGTCACACCTACCCCCTTAAAGAAAAACCATCAATATACAAAGATGGCTTCATTTTTAAAAACCTTTAGCCTTCCACTTTTAGGACACTACAATACACATTCCCGGATCTTATCAGTCTGATGAACATGGGTGAGCTAGCATAGCACTAACTATTTTATACCCATACGCCCTAGTTCTGGTCCCCACACATAAATAAAAATTCTCACCATCCTATCAAACACCTTGCTCTATCTGGCAACTTCTCAGCATTCTCTTGTTTAGAGAAAAGACACCCAGCTAGTTCAGTCTGTCCTTATAGTTTGACATCTCAGATATGGTGTGATCTGAGTACCTCCGTGTCAAATGATATTGATGATGCTACAGAGAAGGACCTTGAGACATTTTACTACTTTAAAGATGTTGTTTAAATGCAAGCTGATGGTACTGTTATTAAAATTTGGGTTTATAAGTGATTTACATGGCCAGATTTAGGCAGATAAACAGTTTTCGGTATTTGCAACATCTTTTTGGTTTAACCAGATTATGCACTCACTCCTTCATTTGGTGAACAGTGACAGTCAACTTGGTTAGAGTTGAAAATGTTTTCCTGAAATTTCAGTGTCTGCCTTGCTGTCAACTGGCAATTTTTTAAGCTCCGAAATTGCATGACTAGTCACCTGAATACTCAAAGAATATTTTTAAAACTTTTTTTGGTACCTCTGTGATATTTTTATCTCTTGACTTTGTTCATAGCTGTATCCAAAGATTAATTTTTAACTGCAGCTGACTACAGGACAGTCCCAGACAGTAAGTGATCTTAGTGCTCCTCTGTTCAGCACTCAAAGAGTTAAAAATATACTTCCTCTGTCTGGCTCCCCACATTAAAAAAATATCAGTGTTTAAGTTAATGAAATGCTAGGATACCAGGTCTGCTACTACACCAAGGTTAAATGGTGCATCTGTTTTTGGGCCTAGTTAGGCCTTCATCATAGCAACGGTTGCTAGGGTGTAGGCCGAGGGTAGTGACAGCAGACATGTTTAACAGACATCCCAGACAGTATCCCTTGGGGTATAACACAATGAATTATACACTGTCTGGAAAAACCAAAAGAAGGGTTACATTACAATTCCAGATATTCTCATCGAAGCGTAATTACAACTCAATGCATGAACTCAAAATGTTTCATCTCCATTGTAGAAAAATTCTTGATCAGAGAGTGCCATTTTCCACGGCAATTCGTGCTTCTCACAACTAGCGAATGGGACCTCATCACTCTGATATCTTATCGCACCAGAGACTGTCATAACCCAGCAAATCTGATTATATGTGACAATATTTAAATATCAATTGTAAAGAAGGACAACCCCAGTTGTTAGATCCCCGTTAACTAATTAAATGACATAAAGTCACTGGCTAGACTGTATTGGTAAAGCAGAAACACGAAAATCCACATAAGGCATATTTCTGGACATATTTAATCGCTGCGCCTCATTCTTGCATCATTCTGGTGGCTCCACCTCATTTGCTGACTGTGGTACAGGTAGTTCTATAACACGATAGTTGCGTTCTTGTGCGACCTCGCGCTATAGAAAATTGTCATACAAAATCGGGTTATAGGGAATTTACCATAGAAAATCGCTATACTGTACAGTAGAAAGTTCACGTTATCCAAACAGCGTCCACTATTCATCAATTATATTACATCCAATTCGCGTTAACGATACACACGTTATAGCAGAACTACCTGTACTGAATACAGTGCATTCAGTTCCAACTCAAAACATTAACTCTGTTTTTCTCTCCACAGATACTGCCAGACCCACTGAGTTTTTCCAGTCTTCCGTGGGTTTTAGATTTCCTGCATCCACAGTATTTTCCCTCTTTCCAACCGTTGCACATATATTGATTAATTGATTGATTTATTGTTGTCATATGTACAGATACAGTGAAGTGTGTTGTTTTGCGTGCTATACAGACAGATCATATAGTGCATCAGGGTATCAGAATAGAATGCAGACTACAGCATTACAGCCGCAGAGAAGGTGCAGAGAAAGAGGTCAGAATTAATATTTGAGAGGTCTGTTCAAAAGTCTGGTAACAGCAGGGAAGGAGCTGTTCTTGAATCTGTTCGTACTTGTACTCAAACTTTTATATCTTCTGCCCAACAGAAGAGGTTGGAGGAGACTATTGCTGGGATTGTATGTCAGCATGAATAAAGAACAGTACAGCACAGGAACAGGCCCTTTGGCCCACCATGGCATATCCCCTTCTCAACAGTTAGCCCTCTGAGACAGACGAAGATGATACCATATCCGAGATGTCAGAACTATCAGAACTGACTGAACTAACTCGGTCTCTTTTCTCCAGACCAGAGAATGCTCAGAGGTCACCACATACAGGTCTATAAAATTATGAAATATGCTTGAAATGATGGCGAGATTTTTTTTTAAAAACTTGAGTGGAGACCAGAACTAGGGACTATGAATAAATAGTTTCTACTAAGATCAGTCTTGGATCACCATAATTCCATCAGTAAACAGCTGCTGTGCTTGGTTAGCCATGTTCATCAAATGACTAACAGACATTTATCCTAGAACTTCCTAGATGAGGTACTGACCATTAGGACATAACCTTTTGGGTGCCTATGCCTCTGCCAGACAGATATTTTCCTAATCAACCTGTTCAGAGATGTTATTACACACCTCTGGAGCAGGTGGGACTTGAACCCATGCCCCCTAGCCCACAGCTAGGGACACTACACCACAATGGGTCCTCTCCCCATGTCTCCACAACAAGGATACTTCTAAGTGAGAGCTGAAGATGGCAGTCATCAACATCGACAACCAGGAAACAGCCACAAACAGCCATGACTTCTGGAGGATGACTGTCCACAAGGATATCAGAAGAGGCAAGCGGAGACGAAAACCTCAGCTGACTGAGAAGAGGACTCAGAGAAAACAGAGATAATTGAGTTGTGTAGTTTCTCCCTCTGTGCCAATGCCACAGAGACTGTCATCTCAGAGTGGGACACTTGCGTCACTTCAGGTCATACTTAGCACAGAGCTGACCCCCCCCGCCACCGCAGAACAAACCATCGCAGCCAGAAGGCTGTCACACCCTAACAATAGGGAATCCAAGAGAATCTTCATTATACTGAGAGTGGTAACACTGCACACTACCACAAAGTGAACAGCATAAAAGCATTTAAGGACAGGTGGAAACATACCAGGGAGAAAAAAAAATGTGCTGATAGGGTGAAACAAAGTGGGTTTTAAAGAAGCTGGCATGGATCAAATACTTAAAGGTCAACTGGGCTCAACAATCTATTTCCGAACCATATGTTCTATTCGAATGAGAATGATGCCACTCAGTGGCTCTTATAAGAACTGACAAAAAGTCTTTACAACAAGGATAGCAAGAACTGCAGATGCCGGAGTCAGAGAAGAATGTGGAGCGAGAGGAACACAGCAGGCCAGGCAACATCAGAGGAGCAGGAAAGTTGACGTTTCGGGTCAGGATCCTTCTTCAGAAATCTGAGGAAATTTCTGAAGAGTCCAAACCCAAAATGTCAACTTCCCTGCTCCTCTGATGTTGTTTACAAAAACGATGATAGACAGATCATTGGGACTTATTTACAAATTCTTAATCACTTGCAGCATGAAGCCAAGACAATATTTTCCGCCAAAGTACATTTCCTATATAACTAGTCGAGCTTTCAACATGTTGCAAGACCCACAAGTGAAGATCATTGTGTTGTGGGCAGGCGGTAACTGAGTCAATGCATATAGGTACAATTCAGCACTCAGTTTTTGATTATAGAAATACTTTGATTTGTGACACAAATTTCCATTGCAGAAAGTTCTGCATTTGTGAAATGGTCTGCTAGTGGAAGCATGCTGTCCCCAAATAAGCACAATAAATATGTGAACAGGATGGAATCACATCACTGGCAGTACCAGCTGAGGGGTATGGAACAGGGTAAATTATTCCCGTTGCTTAGGGATTCTAGAACTAGGGGCATACTCTGAGAATTAGGGCCAAACTGTTCAGAAGAGATGTCAGGAAGCACTCCTGTACACAAAGGGTGGTAGGCGTTTGGCAATTTCTTCCACAAACAGCAGTGGATGCAGAGTCAGTCATTAGTTTTAAATCTGAAATATATTTTTGTGTTAATGTTTTAAGGGATATGAGACAAAGGCAGGTATATGGAGTTAGGCTACAAATCAACTATGATCTTATTTGAATGAGAGAAAGGTTCAAGGGGCTGAATGGCCTACTCCTGTTCCCCTATGTGAGCATTTTGAACGTCTCAGCAGGCATTCTCTTTGTAGTGTTGTATATATCAAATCAATGAAACAGAAGTCCCTTACGCAATGCAGGAGGGAGAAGCAACACTGAAGTGAAGTGATGTAGAACCACCACTGGTGGGAAGGAGTAATGACAACCTGACCTGTTTACGTGGAAGGTGCCCATTGTAATGTAGATAATGTAAAATTTTATAATGGAAATGAAAGTCAATATAAAAAAAATTGAGAGCAGGAAGTGAAGAGATGTAAAATGTTTAATATATTGAGATATTCAATATTTTACTACTGGTAATTCATCACTCATGTGTCTCTTCTATATATCTCTATCAACTTGCAACTAATTCAAGAGAATAGATACTCCTCAGTTTAGAACCATGGAAACAGTTTATTTTTTAAAAAGGTTTATTAGTAGCATAGACAATGTCAATTCTCATTTCTTATTGCACACATACATTTCCCAAGAACCAATGAGCAGCAGAATAGGCCACTGGTGAGTGGGATTTATTCTCTCAATCACTCACAGAACCGTAGCGTTTGAAAATCAGTGAGCAACAGTTCGTCACCTGATTAGCAACAATGCACTGAGATCATAACTCAATGACAACTTACATTCATATCGCACCTTTAAGTTTTAGAGTTTCTTCAAGACTGAGAGATAGGGAGGTTCAGGATGGGAATTCCAGTGCTTCGAACCTCGGAAGGTGAATGCAAGGCCACCAGTGGAGGAGCACTTAAAACCAGGTTTGCTCAAAAGGCCAGAATTATACAGCAAGCCAGGGACAAGGCTATGAAGGGATTTTAATACAAGGTTAAGAATTTTAAAATCAAGTTGTTGGTTGACTGGAGCATCTGACAGTAAGCACAAGGCTGATTGATAAGTGAGTGGTACTTGTTGTGGGTTAAATACTGGAGCAAAGTTTTAGATGGCCCTGCATTTACAGAACGGAGAATGAGGAAGACCAGCTAGTGAGTGCACTGTAGTAGGGAAGAATTAATAAAGCCAAGAATGAGGTAGATGAGCTGAGAGAAGGGTGAAGATGAGCAATGTTACAGAACTGGAAACAGGCAGCCTTCATAATGCCATGAATGCTGGTCAGAATCTTCATTCACCAAGATTGCAAGCAGAGTGGTTTACTCTGAGCCTGTTAGCAGGGACAGGAATCAGAGTTGGTGACTAGGAAACATTCCTGATTGTTCCCAATGACCCAGGAGTCCAGAACCAGATGTCACAGTTTAAGGTTATAGGGTAGGCTATTTAGGACTAAGATGAGGAGAAATAACTTCACCCAGAGAATGTATGGCCTGTGGAATTCTCTGCCACAGAAAGCAGTTAAGGCCAAAACATTCAATGTTTTCAAAGAGTTGGAGAAAGTTCTTAGGTCTAAAATGATCAAAGGGTATGGGAAGTAATCGGAAATAGGCTACTGAGCTGGATGATCATATCGAAGGGTGGAACAGACTTGAAGGGCCAAATGGCCTACTCCTACTCCTATTTTCTGTGTAACAGAAAACCAGCTTTAATCTTCCCAATATTTATTAGAAAGAAGTTTCTGCAAGTCCAGGACTGGATGTGGGTAAGAAATCTTACAATTTAACAACAGGTTTTGAGAGACGTAATGGTGAGGTAGAACCAAGATCAGTATACACATGGAGACATAAACACAGTGCTTTCAGATAACATCGCTGAAGGCAGCTTGCGTAGATGAGAAATTAGAAGGGGGCATCACTAACCCCTCAGGGGAACATCAGAATAACAGGGAGAATCCAAAATAAGTTTTAAACATCGTTACAATTAGGTGGGAGAGCATGGAACCAGGTGACAGCAGTCCAATACACAAAATTAGGAATGCCCAGGCTACAGCTCTCATGGCAGTGTCCCTCATTCTGAGCCAGGAGACCCAGGCTTAAGCCCCACCTGCCCCAGATGTGTATAATGACAATTCTGAATAGGTTGATCAGAAAATATCCAGGAACACCCAAGCTACAGCTGCAGCCACATACAGCCCGATACCAGTTTCACTGGTAAATGAACTTACAGCTCATCCATCAGACTCCCGAAGCCTGGAGCCATGGCATGAATCAGCGAGCGGGCTCTGAGAATCAGAGGCTTTCAGAGAGGTTTGAGCTTGATGTGGGAGGGTGGAAAGGGGTGGTGGAGGAACAGGTAGGAAATGGGTTGCATCACAGGGAGAAGGCAATGAGAGTCAGATGGTGGATGGAAACAGGCAGGTCACGATGGTGATTTTGGGGGGGGGGGTGGAAAAATAGTCAGGGCATCAGGAAACTCCTGCTAATCTCTCTTTCCCAACTACTTCTGGCATTGATTACCCTTTCACCACCCTGATTTGTCAACCTTACAGAGTTCCTTTTTTGGTTATTCGGTCAGGAAACTGATTGGTTAATCGGTGATTCCATGGCAATGTTCTGTTTGAACTCTCTTCCCATGCTCATGGCAGACTGGGAATTCCAGCTCAGAAGACAGACAGAGAGGGAAAGGAGGTGATAGTTGAGAAAAGTGGAGGTAGAAAGGAGGGTGGGGAGAGAAAATGATAGAAGTAAAGAGAGACTAAGTGGGAGAGGATAGTGAGGTGCAGTGAACCAAAAGAGGAATAAACCTCAGGCTGAAAGTTAACTCACTTCTGACACCCATTTTCATGTGAATATTACTGAGGTTAGCTCTCAGCTTGGTCTACCAAGATCAGTGCCAGCTAAAGCTAACTCCCCACCTCAGCACGTCACCAGCCCCTTCCCAAGTGATCACGAATTGGGGATGTTTCTCTCACTCTAGTTCTGCTTCTTAACCAAAAAGATGATGATTGACTTTATTAAGCTTTGTTGCTTAGCATTTCTTAAAGGTTATTTCAATTCATTACTCATTCAAAACACCAATTTATTGGTTTGCCATTTTTTTGAAGTTGTTTACATCTGTGGCAACCATTATCTTGCCGAAATTTGCAGGGCTGCGGACTATGGAGATGGGAAGCTGTGGAGGATAGATCTCCAGAGCAGATAAAGTTTGTGACAGTCCTGGAAATTACAGCTTCATGTTCAATAACAATCCATAATGGAAGAGGAGATAGGACAAAGTGCCTGAGAGTTAGCGCTCATCCTCTGCCAGGTAGATGTCAGCAACCAAACCACCCCTATTGGCAACTTTGATAACAAGATCGGAGTAACAAGGAGCTGAGGGGATAGAGTGCGGCAAGTTCAGAGGGAGACAGGTTACTGTGGGAAGCACAAGTCTACACTGGAGCAGAGATCAGTGCCATCATTCCACATTGAAATTTTTTGAAGTTTGCAACTAAAGCAGCTCACACACAAAAAGAAAGTTGCAACAGTAAAGAAATATTGGGTTGTCTCCTGCACATATTCCAATTATGTCACACTCTCCCCTCACAAATGATAGCAGTAGTATCTTCACAAAAACTACTGCAGCCAACTCTTCAAACTCTCCTGTGAAACAGCACCATCTGCTGTCAAACATATTTACTGCAGAAATGTTTAGAAAACAGACTTCAAGGTCAGTTTACAATATAATGTCCTACCTCAGGAAGGTTAATGAGCAGACAATGTGAGAAGATGGGGTCTAGCTTGTCACATCATGGTCAAACAGGTGGCAGGTGCTCCCTATGTAGGAAGGCACTCCTCAGAGGACAGTTGATTGACATTGGTAGAATGGCTCCTGATCCAGGGTCACACTAACAGGAAGTGAGGTGGAATCAGATGGGGAACATAAAGGTCTCAACTTTCTCCACAATTCTTGGGACTCCCAAACAAAGGACAGCCTTTTTTTCATTAAAACTTAAATAATTTTATTTTTCATTAACAGATTTACTCAAATAACAGACTACAGTTCAACATCTTTGAATGAAAGTCACTTGCAAGTAAAGGCAATTCTGAGGGCCATATTGGGTCTCAATGCAGGTTGGAATCTGGCCTGTGAAGGATGTTCAACATGACTGAATGGACCCTCTATCCCATCGTCCTTTCTGCTCCCTCATACACTGTGCACAGCCACACCAGGTCTCCAGGGAGCTACTGCTGCTGGATACAGTGACTTCTAATTGTACGTTTGGCTAAACTGGACAAAACCCTTCGGAATCCTCAATGAATGGAGGCCCCTGTGGCCGAGGTCCACTCCCTAGTGTGCGTGATGACCCAGAATAGCAAGGTAATGCTATGTGAAATAAATTACAAATATGACAAGGTAGAATTATTACAAGATTGAATGAGCTGGACTAAAGAGAGTTATTTTGAGTAGGCTGAGGTATGGCAGAAGACAGTCTTTTTGGATAGGCTGTGGTAGAGACACAATGAGTGGGATGGGAAAATGGGCAGAGGAGAAGGTCAATTTGCTCCAAAGTTCCTCATCTCTCATGGGACCTTCAGGACATATCCCTTTCTCCATGGATGTTTTTGCTAGACCATGCCTTTAATGATGGAATCAAAGTGGAAATATATTATAGGAAAAAGGAGCAATAATTGTCTTTGTTTTTGCAATAAACACCCCTCCTTGATTTCTAACCTTTCCTGGTGTGTGTGGACGTAGCTCAGTGTATGCCAGTTCCCAATTTGCATCTCATCTGAGTTCTCACAAACTAGGAACTCAACTTCAATTTGGCTTTCAATTTGTGTGTCTATCATCAAGGCAAGGGAACCAATCCATTTAAGGCATCTATAATTTATCATCAGCTAAACAGTTCCAGACAAGGTGTATCAGCGAGTAAAGCTCTCCACTATCCTCAAACATTCTCGGGACAGGTAAAGCATAGGGCTAAATAAGCTCCCTCTACATTATTCCCATCAAACACTCCCAGGACAGGGACAGCACAAGGTTTGGTAAGAAAGATGCATATTCCTTAAAAGGACATCACTGCCTCAGAGATAATGGACAGCTAAAAAGGGAAGCAGGTGGAGATGAGGAAATTGTATTTTGCAAAATCTAAATCAGCTGTCAATAACTCTCCTTTTATAAAAATGTTAATAAATTAGTGTAATATTTCAAATTTTTCAAGCAAGGCAACTGAAGGCTTGGCAACAATACTGTAACATATAGGATCTCTTAGCTCGTTTGTCACTAAAAGGGAGCCATTTGCAAAAGGGATAAAAAAATGGAACTGCTGCTAGTTAGCACATGACCACTCCAAACAGCAATGGGTTAAAACCTCTAATGCAATGTCACAGCTTGGGAGCATAGGGGGAATCTGAATATTTTTACAAACTAAAAGAGATTATTTTAAAACCCAAATACATGCAGTCGGGGACTTCCAACTAGTCATTTTCATCCCGATAAGTCGCAGAATGCAAATGTGGCCCAAGCTTTGTTTTTATAACCTTCTTCTATAGGAATCAGTTCCAGCTCGATACAGCCTGATCTGTGGCTCTGCTCAGCAACTAATCTTCCAGTGTGAAACAGCATAGCTTCAGACCATTTTTACCAAGGCATGGGGTAGTTGCAACGGGTTGGGTGGGGGTGGGAGGATGTTGTGTGCGTGCGGAGGGGAAAGAGATCCCAGACCACTTCAGCCTGCCCCTGCTCTCTCTTGCTTTGTCAAGTTAGTGGCCCTACTGGGCAGCAATCAGGAAGCCTGTATGCTTCCCCCACCATGTGCCGTCACACGCCCCAACGTAGAGGCTGATTGTGGGAACAAAACTGGGACATTCCAACATGCATGTCTCAGTTGCATTCTCTCTTTTACTGAATGGGAACTTTATTCTTGTACACGGACACAAGAAGCCATGCAGGATATGGACAGCACTCTAAAGCAGCGCAGACCCATTTCAACTTTGACAACTTAAAAAGGTCAACAAAAATCAATATTTAATTAAATTATTGAAACAGCTTCAGAGAGGGTGTGAGGCACCAGAGTTTCAACTGCTAACATAGCACGATTAACCTTGAGTCACACTGTTATTCCAGCTTGTAAATACATGTCCAGCAACTGTCAATTCCCATCCTGGACACTTATTAGTGAGATGCTATTTTTTCCATTTGTCTAAGTCCTCAGGTTCCAGATCACCCGTCCTTGTAGTTACTACCTTTGTAAGGTACTGTCCTGCATTTTCCGGAGCAGAATCTGCATGAGGTCGAAGGTGGTGAAGCTGGTCCCCACAGCAATAGGGCCCTTGATCCAGTTCATGCTCAGGCCTTTGTACAGGCCACCAATTCCACCCTCTTCCACAATGATCTGACGCATTGTCTCCAAAATGCTAGTGTACTTGCGGCATTGCACTCCTGCTGTCTGCATCCGTCGCCGTACCACATCAAGAGGGTAGGAGGCCGACTGGCCTATTAAGCCAGCACATGCCCCAAAAAGTAGCCGCTCGTGGGGGTACGGATAGGCTCTCTCAGTTAATTCTGAAATCAAGGCACAAGCATAAGAGATACAGGCTGTGCAAAATGCATTCTTTCCAAATGATAATCCCCACAAGACACTTATGAATGAGGAACACCATTCAGCCCCTTCTAATTAACTCATGCAGCGAGAGAGACTGGACAACCTGAAATTGTTCTCCTTTGAGCAGAGAGGGGCAAAGGATGTTCAAAATTATGAAGGATTCAGTGGGAGACAGAATGTTTTCACCAGTAGGATGACTAATAACCAGAAAACACAGAATTAAGGGACATTAGAGAAAAAAAACCAAGACAGAAGGACTCGGAACCAAAGGGCAAAGATTTAATATAATTAGCAAATGAATGAGGACTGAGATGGCAAAATTTGTTTTAAGAACAGTGGTCACGAGCTGGTAAGTGCTGCTTGAAAGAGTGGAAGCAGATTCAATTCGATCTCTCAAAAGGGAACTGGAGAATAATTGAAGGGAAAAGGCTTGCAGGGATGAGTCTATCAAAGAGCTGGCACAGGGAGGCTGGCTGTATGGCTTCCATTTTATCGCAGGACTCAAATTAATGCTTCCTTTTGAGGACTTTGATTTGATTTTTGTATTCACTTTTTCATTCTTGCTCTCTCCTGTTTTAGACGATGCAGTCAAGTAGTAACTACCTTCTGTATGCGTATCTTTGTTAGAGTTTTCTTCTTTAGATACAAAAAATACATACCATGAATGGCACTTAAGTATACATTATTAAACATATTAACCTGGATTTTTTGAAAATAAATTTGTAATAGATAGATCTCCCACATGGTATAGTGGACAGTGAAGAAGGTTAACTAAAAGTACAATAGGATTTTGATCAACTGGGCCATCATTGGGCCAAGGAATGGCAGGTGGGAGTTTAATTCAGATAAATGCGAGGTGTTGCATTTTGGTAAGGTAAACTAGGACAGGGCTTACACAATTATGGCAAGTCCCTGGAAGAAATATTTTAAATGCACTATCTGAAAACAGAGAGACCTTGGGTGCAAGTGCACAGTGGCATCACAGGTAGACAGGGTGGTCAAGGCGAGACAACAAGGTGCAGGGCTGGATGAACACAGCAGGCCAAGCAGCATCATAGGAGCAGAGAGGCTGACGTTTCGGGCCTAGACCCTTCATCAGAAAAGGGGGAGGGGAAGGGGGTTCTGAAATAAATAGGGAGAGAGTGGGAGGCGGATAGAAGAGGGATAGAGGAGAGGATAGGTGGAGAGGAAACAAACAGGTCGAAGAGGCGGGGATGGAGCCAGTAAAGATGAGTGTAGGTAGGGAGTTAGGAAGGGGATAGGTCAGTCCAGGGAGGACGGACAGGTCAAGGGGGCGGGATGAGGTTGGTCGGTAGGCGTTTGGCACGCTTGCCTTCATCATCAGAGCATTGAGCACAGGAGTTCGAACATCACGTTACAGTTGTACTAGACATTGGTGAGGCCACATTTGGAGAACTGCATACAATTCCGGTCGCCCTGCCACAGGAAGGATGTTATTAAACTGGAAGAGGTACCATGGATAGAAAAGGTTTAGAGGGATGTGGGCCAAGCACAGGCAAATGGGACTAGTTCAGTTCAGGAACAAGTTAGGCCAAAGGGTCTGTACCGTGCTGTATGACTCTATGACCCTACATTGAAGCTCCAGAGATAGGCTGGTAACCTGAAACATTTAATTTTTAAAGAAATTAATTCATGGGATGTGGGCGTCGCTGGCTGGGCCAGCATCTATTGTCCATCTCTAGTTGCCCTTGAGAAGTTGGTGGTGAGCTGTCTTCTTGAACAGCTGCAGTCTATATGAGTAGGTAGGCCCACCTACTTGGAGAGGGAATTCCAGGATTTTGACTGGCAACGCTGTAAAAATAGCAATATATTTCCAAAGATAGTAGGAACTGCAGATGCTGGAGAATCTGAGATAACAAGGTGTAGAGCTGGATGAACACAGCAGGCCAAGCAGCATCATAGGAGCAGGAAGGCTGACGTTTCGGGCCTAGACCCTTCTTCAGAAATGGGGGAGGGGAAGGGGGTTCTGAAATAAATAGGGAGAGAGGGGGAGGCGGATAGAAGATGGATAGAGGAGAAGATAGGTGGAGAGGAGACAGACCGGTCAAAGAGGCGGGGATGGAGCCAGTAAAGGTGAGTGTAGGTGGGGAGGTAGGGAGGAGATAGGTCAGTCCAGGGAGGACGGACAGGTCAAGGGGGCGCGATGAGGTTAGTAGGTAGGAGATGGGGGTGGGGCTTGAGGTGGGAGGAGGGGATAGGTGGGAGGAAGGACAGGTTAGGGAGGCGGGGACGAGCTGGACTGGTTTTGGGATGCGGTAGGGGGAGGGGAGATTTTGAAGCTTGTGAAGTCCACATTGATACCATTGGGCTGCAGGGTTCCCAAGCGGAATATGAGTTGCTGTTCCTGCACTAAACAACTGCACCTCCCAGTCGCGAACCATTTCAACTCCCCCTCCCATTCCACAGACGACATGTCCATCCTGGGCCTCCTGCAGTGCCACAACGATGCTACCCGAAGGTTGCAGGAACAGCAACTCATATTCCGCTTGGGAATCCTGTGGCCCAATGGTATCAATGTGGACTTCACAAGCTTCAAAATCTCCCCATACCGCATCCCAAAACCAGCCCAGCTCGTCCCCGCCTCCCTAACCTGTCCTTCCTCCCACCTATCCCCTCCTCCCATCTCAAGTCCCACCCCCATTTCCTACCGACTAACCTCACCTCACCCCCTTGACCTGTCCGTCCTCCCTGGACTGACCCATCTCCTCCCTACCTCCCCACCTACACTCACCTTTACTGGCTCCATCCCCGCCTCTTTGACCTGTCTGTCTCCTCTCCACCTATCTTCTCCTCTATCCATCTTCCATCCACCTCCCCCTCTCTCCCTATTTATTTCAGAACCCGAAATGTCAGTCTTCCTGCTCCTCTGATGCTGCTTGGCCTGCTGTGTTCATCCAGCTCTACACCTTGTTATCTAATATATTTCCAAGTCAGGATGGGGAGGGGCTTCCTATGTATCGACTGTCCTTGTCTTTCTAGATGGTAGTAGCCCTGGGTTTGGAACAAGATGTCTAGAGGGCCTTAGTAAATTTCTGCACTGCATCTTGTAGATGGTACACACTGCTGCTACTGAGCTTTCATGGTGGAGGAAATAAAAATTTCTGGAGATGTTATGGCATAGTGGTATTGTTGCCGGACTAGTACAGGTAATCTTCTCAGGATCCAGGTTCGAATCTAGATGGTGGGAAGTGAGTTTTAATAAAGTTGTAACTAAAAGTCTAATGATGTCTCTGATGCCATTGTCAATTGTCATAAAAAATTATTTGTTTCACTAATGCCCTATAGAGAAAGGCCGATGTCCTTAGTTGTCTGGTCTAGATCTAGTCTGGTCCAGATCTAGTCTGGTCCAGATCCACAGCAAGCCACTCAGTTGCATCAAACTGCTTATTAGTCTCAATTTTGTTTTTCTCACTCTACTAACTTGGCCTATTGTGCCAAAAGTTTGCAGCATCTTCTACCGTCATCAGAGTCATAGAGTCAGTCTCATACAGCAGGGAAACAGACCCTTCAGTCCAACCATCATAATGAAAGGTCAGATAACAAAATAAAAATTGTCACAAGTGAAAAATGTATAGAATTAATTTTCACATGAAGTAATGAGAAACAAAGTCAAAATTATATCTCTCATGAAGGGTAAGAGGGTATTGTGACCTTTCTGGAACATGAACCAAGACAGGTCAAGTAGCCTCCTTCAGCTGCAATGATATTGTAAATTGTGTAAAATCCCATTTGCTGATTGGGAATAGGGTTTGGGATGAACACAAACCTGGCTCCACAGCCTGCTCAATTAACATGGCGTGATCTGGACACTCTCTCCAGGGATCACCACACTAATAGCTGCTGACGTACCTCCATGGAATTTCTTCAATGTTTCGTAAGTGAAGAAGCTGAGCCCGGCATATGGAATTACCCCAAGGATAGTGGGCGAGAACCCACTGTACAAGGTCTTGACTCCTTCATCTCGAGTTATCCGGATGAAGACATGCAAAATATTGCCATACCTAATGGCACAAAAAATATATAATACACCGTCACAGGCAAAAAGTGCACTGCATATAATATCTCCATTGAGTAAATAAGCAATCACTTCCAGGAGCAAAAGGGTTGGCAACAAGAGGAGACAGATTTAAAGAAATCTGAACTAGAGTGACATGAAGAAATACTTTAAATGCACTATCTGAAGACATAAAAGTAGCAGGTTTAATAGCAATTGGTGACATTTTCCAAACTCGTAACCACGGACATGGGCAGTACATGCATGGCAATACCTGAAGGAGAAAAACAGAGCTGTGGGAAAAGAGCAGTGGATTCTGATTAATCTGCTTCCTCTATCCCAGAGTCAAAGCAAGAATAATGGCAAGATGCTCTCCTTCTGTGCAGTGCAACCCTACAATTGTCTGACACACAGAAGTGATGAAAGAAATAATATTTACAGAAATAGAACACTGCAAAGTGTATCTAGCAGAAAATTAATTGCCTTTGATTAATTTCAAACTCAGTTCTTGGAATAAAAACACCACATACTGGGCCTTCAGCATTCAAGAAGCTGAACACCATCTAAGATAAAGACAGACCGCCATCTCATCTATTATAAGAAAAGACAGGAGCAGAATTGAGCCATTTGGTTCATTGAGTCTGCTTCAGTATTCAACGAGATCATAGCGGCTCTTATAATCCTCACAACCCCCCCACCCACTCCTGCCTTTTCCTCATAATTCTTGTTTCCCTTTTAATTAAAAATTTGCTCATCTTAGCTTTGAATATCCTTAACGAACCAGGCTTGAATTCCACAGAATCACTACTCACTAAAGAAATTCCTCCTCCGCTCAATCTGAGTAAGCGGTTTCCCATTTAAGATAATGCCCTCTGGTCCTAGAATCTGCCACAAGGGGAACTATCTACATCTGCCCTGTTAAGTGTCCGATCCAAGTTTCTCACTCTGAAACTGAATGCTAAATTCTACCATGTGATGTTACTGTTCCCTAGGAGATCATTTATCAAACCTGCCTCACTACACATCACCAGGCCAGAAATTGGCTGGATCCTTGGTTGTATCCATAATATATTGTTCTAGGAAACGGTCCCAAATATACTATGAATTCTTTCTCTGTGAATCTGATGTCCCCAGTCTACAAGATTAAGGTTACCCATGATTAATGTACTGATATAATACAGTGTGGAGCTGGAGGAACACAGCAGGTCAGGCAGCGTCAGAGGAGTAGGAAAGTTGACGTTTCGGGTTGGGAACCATCTTCGGAAATCTGAAGTCCCGACCTGAAATGTCAACTTTCCTACTCCTCTGATGCTGCTTGGCCTGCTGTGTTCCTCCACTCCACACTGTATTATCTCTGACTCCAGCATCGGCAGTTCTTACTATCTCATTAGTGTACTGATGTTTTTTTTTCAATTATGCCCTCACCACCTCCTGATTATTCTTGGTCCTACAGTACAGATACTGTTACAGACTACTTCCATCAGTGTCTTTTTCTCTTGTTTCTTGTACCTCCACACAATGGATTCTACATCATCCAGTCCAAGACTATTCCTTGCTACTGTTCTTACCCCATCTCATACTAACAAAGTTATCCTATCACCCTGCCCTTACTGCCTGACTTCTCGAAAAGGTCACATACAACTGAACATCTATTTCCCAACCTTGATCGCCTTGCAACCATGTCTCCTAAGTGGCTGAAAAATCATGGCTGATGTGGTTGGTTGGCTCGCCAATCTGGTTCGTTGTTCCGCAGACATTTTATTACCCTGGTGGGCAACATCATCAGTTCAGCCTCCGATGAAGCACCGTTGTGTTTTCCCGCCTGGTTTTTAAACTCTGGAGTCCGTTGAGCTGGATTACCTCACTTTCGGTTTTCCTTCGTAGTGGAGTGTATATGGAGTCGAGTTCTATGGGTTTGCTGATGGCTTTCTTCGTGGAATTCCCATGCCTGTCTCTGCTTTGCTTGTCCCAGGATCTTGGTGTTGTCCCAGTCGAATTGGTGGTTCTCCTTATCCATGTGGATAGAGATGAGTGAGTATTGGTTGTGTCTTTTTGTGGCCAATTGGTGTTCATGTATCCTTGTTGTTAATTTCCTTCCTGTTTGTCCGATGTAGTGTTTGTCACAGTCTCTGCAGGGAATCTTGGTCCTGTCCATAGTGGGAAGTGGGTCTTCAGTTAGGGTGAGCAGTTGTCGTAGGGTTGATGTGGGTTTGTGTGCCACTCTGATGCCCAGCGGTCGCAGAAGTCTTGTGGTTAGTTCCGATGTGTTCCTGATGTAAGGTAGCGTGATGAGTGTGTCGGTGTATGTAGTATCTTCCTGGTGTTGGTCGTGTAGGCATCTTCTGACTCAGTTTTTTGGATATCCATTATCTTTGAAGACCCAGAAGAGATATTCTTCTTCTTTTTGCGTAGTTCTGTGGTGCTGCAGTGCGTTGTTGCCTGTTTACATAGTGTTCGTACGCAGCTTTGTTTGTGTGTGTTAGGATGGTTACTGTTGAAGTTCAGTACCTGGTCTGTGTGTGTGGCTTTTCTGTGTACTTTCATTTGGAGTTCCCCATTTGTCTTGCACTCTACCATGACGTCCAGGAATGGGAGCTGTTTGTTCTTCTCTTCCTCTCTGGTGAATTCGATTCCGGTGAAGGTATTGTTTATTAGTTTGTGTGTCTCCTTTAGTTTGGTCCGCTTAATGATGACAAAGGTATCGTCCACGTAGCGTATCCATAGTTTAGGTTGGATTAGCGGAAGGGCAGTCCTTTCCAGTCTTTGCATCACTGCCTCGGCTAGAAGTCTGGAGATAGGCGATCCCATGGGTGTCCCGTTGATCTGTTCGTATGTTTGGCCATTGAAAGTGAAGTGGGTGGTGAGGCATAGGTCAAGTAGCTTCAGCATGTTGTCTGTGGAGATGGTTTCACTGGGGTCTTGTTCTATTAGTGTTGTCATTGTTTCCCTTGCTAATGGTATGTCTATTGATGTAAGTAGGGCAGTGACATCAAACAACATCATGGTCTCCTCATCATCTATCCTTATGTCTTTGATGGAGTTGAGGAACCCTTGGGCTGAGTGGATAGAGTGGGGTGACTTTTTGACCAGGTGCCTTAGTCTCCTTTGTAGTTCCTTGGCTAATCTGTGAGATGGCGTGCCTGGTAGAGAGACTATGGGTCTAAGGGGTACTTCTGGTTTGTGTACTTTCGGGAGGCCGTAGAATCAGGGTGCGTTGGTTCCTTCGGGTTTCATTCTTAAGAGGTCTGTTTTGTTGATCTGTCCGGTCTGTTTGAGTCTTTTTAGCGTGTAGAGGATTTTGTTGCCTAGTTGTGGTGCCAGGTCAGTATGTACCGGCCGGTATGTGTTCTCGTCGGCTAGCAGTGCCTGTCTCTTGGAGATGTAATCCCTTTTATTTAGTATTACAGTCATGCACCCTTTGTCTGCGGGTAGTATTGCGACGTTCTTAACCTTCTTCAGTCCTTCTAGGGCTTGCCTTTCCAATGTGTTGAGGGCGTCGAGTTCGCTCCTTCTGGTCAGTGTCGGGATTACTGTCTGTCTTATGGTTTGTTGTGTTTCTTCATTGATGTTGTTGGTCCTTAGTGTGGCTTCCAGTGTGGTTAGGAATTCCATTTTGTTGGCGTCTCTGTAATTATAGTTAAGTCCTCAGGTGAGAACGGCTTTTTCTGTGTCTGTCAGTTAACTGTCAGAGAGGTTTCTTATCCAGATGTCTGCTCTGGTGCTGTTGTCTTGGTGGTAAGTGTGGCTAGCTTGTCCTGAAAGGTCTGTCTTTTCTTGGCCCTTGTGGTCTGTTGGCTGATGTTGATGGCTTATTCCATGTCCATTGTCCAGTCTTGATCGGTAGCTTCCAGGAATAAAGTTTTTTGGCGCGTAAGTTCTCTGTTGTATTTGTGGGGCCGGTTGTGTGCGTCATTTATCATTACCTTTACCATCTTGCGGCTGTTTTGTTCTGCTGTTTTGCGGGTTGTTGATGGGTGGTTTGTATCTCATACTGCGTGGTAATACCTAGTTCCTGAGGCATCCATGTAGGAAGTAGAGTTGCTTGCAGGTTGCACTCTCTAAAAGAAAAAAACACAATGGTGCTTCATCGGCGGCTGCACTGATGATGTTACCCAGCAGGGTAATGAAACATCTGCAGAACAACGAACCAGCTCGGCAAGCCAACCAACCACAACAACCTTAGAATCATGGCTGATCTTGAGTTTCAACTTCGCTTTCCTGGCCACTCCTCAAATCCTTCCATGTTGAAAAATCCACTTATCCCAGCCTTAAATGTATTCAACGAGGGAGACCTTATATCCCTCTTGGGGAGGGAAGACTAAAGATGAATGATAGTACCTCCAAAAATTCAGCTCAGTATTTACATATTCTAATTTTTTTCTTTCAGCACTTGGGTGTTGGTCTTTTCAATTTTTTTTTAAATCTGATCAGCACGCGTGCAATAGTTATCATCTTGCTGAAATCTTTTCTCCCTATCAAACTAAATGCTTTGAGCTTCAGTTTATTTCAAATTACTGCATGGCTTCTTTTTTGAGGGAACAATCTTGGTCAGCGAGCACAGACAATATGCAGGAGTATGACCTGGTGTGGATGAGGTGACAGGCCGAGTTTTAGATGAGCTCAGTTTCATGGAAGATGAAAGCGGACTGAGCGGGGAGCAGTTTCTGTACAGTTTATGGAGGGTCACTTTATTTAAATCATTATCGATGATGCTACTTTCAATACGTACATTTCCTTTGGAGTTATGGCCATTCGTGCTCGCACCAAGTCTAGTGGATATGTCAACGTAGTGGCTGTAATACCAGCCATTGATCCAGCCAGCAGCCGTGGGAGGGGTGGCAAAGGTCTGGCAAAGAGAAAGAGACATGATCATAAAGTAAAAGTTCTGCAGAGAAAGACAGAAAATAAAAATCAGTCATAACTATGGATGGGTGGTCAACACAAAGCTGGACTCGAAAAAAAGAATGTGCAGCCCAACAACACAGGGAGTTTGCCATTTGTCCCATCTTGTCTGCACCATCTCAAATAAGCATTATGACTTAGTCTTAATCTTATATTTTCCTCATACCCTATTAAATTGTTTCTATTCAAGTAACCATCTAATGCTTTCTTGAATGCTTCAATCAACTCTGTCTCCACTACACTTCCAGACAGCGCATTCCACATCCAAACCATACATTGTATAGAAAAGGAGACAACAAGGTGCAGGGCTG